CTCAACTACAAACGACGGGAAAATCACTACAAACAACTACAAACGATTCTATGTAAGATGCCGCAAACAGATTTCGAATATCTTGAAAATTGCCAAAGCTACGTTTTTTGTTTATTGTTAATTTATCATAACTTTTGGACCGCTCAACTACAAACGATGTGAAAATCACTACAAACAACTAAAAACGATTCTATGTAAGATGTCGCAAACAGATCTCGAATATCTTGAAAATTGCAAAAGTTACGTTTTTTGTTTAATGTTAATTTATCATAACTTTTAAACGGTGCAATTACAAACGACCGGAAAATCACTACAAACAACTACAAACGATTCTAAGTAAGATACCGTGAGCGGGTTTGAGATATATCAAAAATTGGCAAAGTTACGTAATTTGTTTATTGTAAATTTGTTGTAACTTTTAAACGGTGCAACTACAAACTATCGGAAAATTACTACAAACGATTCTAAGTAAGATGCCGTGAGCGGATTTGAGATATATCAAAAATTAGCAAAGTTATGTAATTTGTTTATTGTAAATTTGTTGTAACTTTTAAACGGTGCAACTACAAACGACCGAAAAATTACTACAAACAATTACAAACGATTCTAAGTAAGATGCCGTGAGCGGATTTGAGATATCTCAAAAATTGGCAAAGTTATTTAATTTGTTTATTATAAATTTGTTGTAACTTTTAAACGGTGCAACTACAAACGACCGGAAAATTACTACAAACAATTACAAACGTTTCTGAATCGAGGCCCGCAAGCGGATTTCAGATATCTTGAAAATTAAAATATTTCATTTTTATACAATTGTTTAAATAACTATATCTCGCGAACGGTGCAACTACAAACGGAAATAATTTTACTACAATTCACTACAAACGATTTTCTATAAGAAACAATACTTAAAGTTTATGAACTTCAAAGTCGGAGAATGACAATTTTTAAGTCGCTTTATTTTTATTTCTGCGCTACTACAAACGAAATAAATGTTACTAGATTCAACTATATACGAAGATCTTTCGGGGGAAAAAAAAAAACAAGTTTATGCAAGTCTCTCGGGTGCCAAGTTCACAAAGCCCATTAGGCCCAGTTTCACAACTGACGGTTAACTCTTAACCGAAGTTCAACTTATTCATTATCTCTTTTCAATTCTAGAATTGGAAAAAGGTGACAAATAAGTTGAACTTCGGTTAAGAGTTAACCGTAAGTTGTGAAACTGGGCCTTAGTGACCGAGTGATTTCTGTTCGTGAAAATTTCTTTGAGTCTTTCAAAATTATCTGGAGACACTGGTAGTGTCTCGGCGCTGAGCATGGCACGTAAAAATTATACTACATTTTATTATTTTCTAAAATGAAGTTTTAATATTTATTCTAGAAAGTTGAAAATATAATGGAGTGAATGTTTAAAGAATTTTTTAATCATATATATATTCTGAATAGAGGTGAAAAAAACGGACGGATTTTAGTGACCCATGTTTGGACAGATGAGGCACTAAACTGTACCTTGTATTGTAAGAGTTAATAATTTAAAAACTTTGTCGGACCAAACTGTGGATCGAATTGAAATAGTACTCTTAAATCTCTTTATTCTGATTCATACGTTTCGAAGTACAGTTCAAAGTACGTGATACTTTTGATTTCGAAATTAATACATAGTAATTTTTTCAATTAACGTGATTTGTTTCGTTTATCGCATCTTAAATTTAAATGTTAATAATAATAATCTCTAAAAAATCTTTTTTAAAAAAGAAAATATAATTAAACAGTAAAAATGTAATTAAATATAATTAAAACTGGCTTTTTTAGAGGTTTTATTGTATTTTATTAGGGTTTTTTGGGGGGTTTTTTGAGTTTTTTTTGATAAAATTAATTATTTGATATTTTTTCATGTAATATTTATAAAAAAACAGATACAAAATAAATGCAAATATTTCATCACGCAAGCCACATAACATAAACTGTAAGTGACTAAAATAATCAACTGAATTATAGTGAAGAAAAAATTTGTGCCTGTCACTTTCAGTCTTTCACTTTGAGATACGATCCATCTTAATCCTGCAAATGCTTTGAAGTATTCTTTGAATGATCGATTTAAAAAATTCTTTGATTTTTCAACAAATTCATTCACACCGTTAGATGGATCGTACCTCAGGTAACACATGTATCGTTCTTCGTTATTCATAGAACACCAAAAATGATTAACTAGAGAGTGTCCACATATTAGCAACACATACAAAATTAACAAAACTAATGTACAGTAAATTTTTCAGCCAACATCGTGATTTGATTCATTTATTACATCTTAAATTTAAATGTATGTCAATAATAATAAGTCTAAAAAATGGTTCTTCCAAAGAAGATCTACACTGATGACTCTCCAATTATATCTTTCATCTAATTTTACATAACACATTGAAATTTTGTCTTAAAGATCACAGATATTAGTTGTGATTTTTCAATAGGAGTAATGTAACATAGAAAGAATCAAGCGACAAATGGTAGTACACAAGAATTAATAACAACGTGCCTGTTTGAGCAAAATGCAACAGAAGTATGAAACTTTCTTGGAAAGAAAATGCACCATAGAGGATCGATGTCGGTTTAATAATACACGTTTTTATCAATGCGATTACTTTATAGTAATCAATGCGACTGTTGTCAATGCAATTATCGTCGTGGTAATTGTTTTGCGCGTTGATTGTCGGCACGGTGGTTGTTGACGTGACTTTTAATGCAATCGTTATTGCTCGCCGAGGCGAGCGAAACCCGGAGAGTCACCAGAAATGTGTAACATTGACAGACATATATTGTTACATATTACATTTTACGCGAAATAATCGGACTTGCGCGAGTAATTATGTAAATAACAATATAACTCACGGGTGACCAGGAAATAAGGTCGTTGTTATTAGGATCCTCAACCATCTTCCAAAGCTTGGCAAGGAACGCTGGTACGCCAGAGTCAAAGTTCGATGTTTTGCGCATCTTGGAGTTGTGCGTTGAACCGAGCTCAATAAAGAAATAACTTCTATATTCACGTTTGCTTCTGACTGAATCTCACGTCTTCCTCAATAACATGATATTGACGATCGGACAATGGCTGATCCGCTGACGATGTATTCTGCTATATACACTGGTAGTGGGGGGTATTGGAGAGACCCGAGACCTGAAACAGCTGAGAAGGGATACAGAAGTCAAACTCTCATTCCTCATTGGTCGCCGGACGATTGAGTGTGTTCAGAAACTTTCCACCGAATGCACTGTTATCCTCGTTTAACATTCGAAGAGTAACAAGGATAATATTATAGGGTATAGTCACTGACTGTAGCTCTAGGTTTCCCTACTTCGTCACTCTACTTCGTGATTGGACAACGCAGAGTTTTAGGATATAAGTCATCGATATATAGATGGGACCATGGTGGAAATTGACGAAGGAACCCCCCCCCATTAATCCCTCCGATGGTAGTGATGGGAGTAGAGAATCGACTATTACTTGGAAGCGGGAGCCACTAATAAAATGGGGGTAGAGAGATGAGTAGAGTGAAAGGATGAAAAATGTAATGTTTTCTGAAGTTTTGGTTACTGGGAATTAGTGCTGTACTATATGCGCGATAAATTATAATATTATTATTTACTAATTTGTATACATGTTTTGACTAACTTTTTAGCCATCTTCAGTACATACAGATGAATTCATGTAATTAGGTAAGCAATGAGATGCATAAAACGTATAAGGTTATGATAACCGCATGTTTTTCGTCATTTATTAGGTGTACAAAAAAGTTCTGAGCTTTTTTCGGTGAAATTCAATCTTTATTCAAAAAGAAACGAAAAAATATTAATCAGCGAAATATTCTCCGTTTGCATCAACGACCTTTTATCATATTTCGGGTAGCTTGCGAATTCCTTGACGATAGAAACTCACCGGCTTCGAAGCGATAAAGTCATCAATGCATTTTCGTATCTCTTCTAATCTCACGAAATATGTATCAGCCAAATGATGCTGCAGCGACCGGAATAGGTAGTAATCTATGCTATACGCCGCGTGTGGAAGAAGTTCCCAGCCTAACGACATCCTTGGCCAGTAAATAGCCTCTTTTCTTCTAATGCATCGCTCAAATTGGTCAATTGTTGTTGGTAGCAATCTGCCGTGATTGTTTCACCCGGTTGTATTTTTGTTGTCGATTTTTGTTTTCTTCGGACAATTCATGCGGAATCCATCTGCCTTCCTTCTGAACTTTTCCCATCGTATGTAATCGTACGGAAATGGCTTGCTGCGTAACGCCAAGCTGTTCTGCAAGCTCTTTTTCAGTTTGCGCAGAGTTTATATTGTTATTTCGGTTATATGAAATCTAAAGCTCAGAACTTTTTTGTACACCTAATAAGTATCCGTAATGATTGCGATTCTATTTTTTATATCAGAGAATTAACCCAGCTAACACAAAGTTACATGTAACGTACTCGTTAGTTGTAATTTCCCACTCACGTATATGATAAACATGATACAATGTTTATAAGAACCTATGAAACTTAATTCAGAAATGTTTATAACTATCACATGCTAAAATATCCAGACAAATGTGTGATTACAGCTCAGCGTTAGAATGTTACACTGAAAGAAAAAATTGGTTGCTGCAACAAATTAGATGGTTAAATATGGCATAGCATTTTTAATTAGCTGTAGCAACCAACTTTTGGTTGCGTTAGCCAATCGAAGTCCTATACTGACATTGCGGATAGGCTAACACAACCATTAGCTGCAGCATCCAAAAATTGGATGTTGCAACCAATTAAAAATGCTCCACTATATTTTACCATCTAATTTGCTGCAGCAGCCAATCTTCTTTCAGTGTAGACTATCACCCCGTAGGTTTTAGCTCTTAGGTTCTAGTTACATCGATTCTGATATGCGTTTTCAAAAATTGTAAATTTCCGATGCGTAATGTAATTGTAATTAATAAATTGCATGTGAAAATATAAATTAATTCTACAAAAGAGTAATGAAAAAATAAGAACTATATTTTAATAATTATAAAAAGCTTTTTTAAAAATAATATGAAATGTACGATTAAAACGATACAATATACTATTCATTATAATAAAACACAACTAAATAGAAATTGATTAAAAACGATATCTAAACCGTGCGACAAAAACGATAGAGAAATATGAAAAATTTATCAAATATATCAGGTAAATAACCTGAAATTTACGAGCCAAAACTATTTTATTGTTTGGAAGTATTTCTTCTCCATTACTGTTAATATGCCCGCATATAAGGATTCACCGATGCAGAGAGAATCAAAGGAGAGTGTTTTTTCTTAAACGAAAAAATCGCAAGTCATTTATAAAGAAGTCTTTGTCCTTAGTTAATACTGAGTGACTCTTTAAGCTTCAGGTATCTGTATTAACCTGAAGAAAAGAAAAAATGCCTTTGTTACTTCGATATGTCTTGAACCGTCGTATTTTCTATTTTCTCATGCACGTTATTATTACATGAATATTATTGGAATATATATAGTCTTATATATATATTCTACTAAATATATTCCAATAATTTTGACAATTTTTAACGATCAAAGACACGTTCTTACTATCTCAGCAAACGAGAATAGATTGAAATAAACTAAGATGGATTCAGATTTTTAAACATTGAAATGAATCGTTTTCAATTCCAGGGCATTTTTATTTATTTATATGGGAAGGGCCATACTATATATAACCAATGTAAAACCCCTGGAACGAATCGTTTCTTTTTCATTTCTATAAACTTCCAGGGAAATTGTTGAGTTAGTCCCCTCACATACATTCTTCTGACTGTACATGTGTATGTTCTAAGGCGAGAGTGAGGATAGCTGCGTTTCCACTGAGCGCGTCACGCGTCGCGTCATGAAAGAAAGATATAAGATTATATAAGTACACAACCCCTCTATTTCTCTTCTTTGACGACGCGACGCGTGACGCGCTAAGTGGAAACTCAGCCTAAGGCTATCCCCACTCTCGTCTAGAACATACACATGTACAGTCAGAAGCAATGAGGTTGCAATATTTTTTTTCCGATGAATTTCGGAATGCAGCTTACTTACCTAGCGATTGGTTCTTATTCATGAATTTACAAATAAAAACCAATTGCTCGGTGAGTAAGCTGCATTACGAAACCCATTGAAAAAAGTGTCGCAACCTCATTGCTTCTGACTGTACGTTCAGAGCTCACATATAAATTACGCGCACAGCAAACAAGCATTTAGACAAGGATAGATGTTGCAGACACTTTTGGTCACCTATGATCTTTCTAGTATGTATGTGTGTCTAAGGTTCGTTCCAGGGGTCCGCTCAGGTATGCATGAAAGCGATGTATAAAAACGAATATAACTTGAAAGTGACCTTGAACTAGAAAGTGTGAATTTCGAAAAAATAATTATTATATAATATAATTATGTACGAGCAATTTTCTTTACATTTCTCTAAACTTGATTTTTTCTAAAACAAACAGTGCAAAAATCATCCCTTTAATTATTTTTTACGTTTTCTTATTATTTATATTATACTAAAAAATAATTTTACAAGAGAAAAAAAGATGTATGACTATGCATATAATTATATATTTCATACATAATTATATATGTTTATAAATATTTATACATATTTATGTATGTTTATACACATTTATATGTATATAATAATGCATAAAAAATTTTTCACCGAGATTAATCAATTTGCGCCCAGCAGCTCTTACTGTAATGTATATTCTTCCGATTAAAATTTTATTATAATCTTTTATAAATTACGAGAACGCCTTGATCGGTCAGAGTTACAGGTTCTGAATAATACATTATATATTCTTTATTAAATCAAATCTATTTTTGAAGTGATTACGCGCCGATAACTTTTGGACTTTCAATGCAGTCTAAAACGCTAATAGAGAGGTTCCAGGTTCAAACAATGGCCGAAGTAATATTTCCGCAATAAGTTTCTTTCATTCTTTCTAATTTAATTTAGGATCCCCATTAACCTGGACCTCCCCACCATCGAAAATCAAATTCGCGATAGGTTAAAAATTTAATGCTCTTTATTTGCTAATTATTTGCTAAAAAATAATTTAGGGGGGGGGGGATTATAAGCGCTTCAGGCTGTTTGCGTCGAAAATCCGAAAGTTATCAGCGCGCAATCACTTCTAAAATAAATTTGATTTAATAAAGAATATATATAATGTATCATTCGAAACATTTAACTTTGATCGATCAATGTGTTCTTGTAATTTATATATTCATTAATACGAACGTTTTTAAGTCATAATCTTTCATATTAATTAATAAATAAATGAATAAATCAATAAATACGTAGATAAATAAATAAATAAAATTTACCTATTATATACCCATTTATTGATTTATTCATTTATTTATTATTAATTAATATGAAACATTATATAATAAAATTTTAATCGGAAGAATGTACTGCAGTGTACAGTAAATGCGAGGAGCCTTAACATGGCATGCTGCATTCTTGCCGGGAAGATCCCGTTTACCTACAATCCCGATTGCACACACCACTCATATCAGCTGGTGCTTAGTAATTTTTCACTGCTTTACCAATGAGAATATTTTATTTTTAAATTGGCCAATTAGCGACTCATGTATGCAACATGCAATGTGTGCAATCGGAGCCTTCCCAAAAAAATATTTCATTTATAATTATATATAAAATTGACGTATTTTATGTATATTAAAAAAACCGAGAATTTCGGATGCTCGGATGCCCGCAACTCGCTGACTCGCGTAAAGACACGCGTGTCTCGCGCTATGCGCCCACTTGGCGCGAGGCACTACCGTGTCTCTTGATAATTGTATATTATTGTATAGAAAAAATATGTCCATATATATATATATATAATATTTTTTCCCGGGCTTTTAAATCGTCCAATAGCAGCGAGCGCTCACGAATCCACTCCGCAACGCAGTTGAGTCTGCTAAATGCGACCAACTTTAATTGTTAATAATTTGGTTTAAAAAAAATAATAATAATAGTCTGAGTGTCAAAATTGAAAAAGAAACTTTTACTTCAACATTTCATCCTCTTTCACACTTCTAGAAATATTAATTT